TTGTTGTATATGTTTAATATATATTAATATATATTTTTAAACAAAATATTAAATATATTTTAAAATATTGTAAAAGTTATTTTAATTTTTTATTTACTAAATATATATTATCCTCATGACAATTATTTTTAAATTTTAAAGTTTCCGCCATTGGTTTCTTCACACGATTTTTGTTGTCAAAATAAAAAAATTCGAAAGTTTAGTAGAATTTTTTCTTCGAATTTTGTTCGGAAGTAAAAGTTTAATTTATTTAAATTTAATTAAAAATAATTAAATTTAAATAAATTTAATAAACTAACTTAACATAACTAGAGAAAAAGTTTGCAATCAGCAAGCTATAGCTTTAGGGCTGTTCACACTGCATGGTTAGATACGAATTTTTAAATTCATTTTACAACAGACCAATGACTCATTCTATACATTTTTTTTTTGTCTTTGGTTATTATATTTTTAAAAAACTTAATTAAGATCGAGGGTTATGATCAACTTAGGATGATGATATTGGGCTATAATAAAATGGCCATTGTTAATGACTAAGTTAGATTCAAAGCTATAAGCTCAAATTAAAAATAAGTAGGTTAAAAAATATAAATTAATAGATAGTCATTTATTACAAACCGTCATATTATTACAAAATTTTTCCAAAAAAAAAAACTTTCTCCGTTTAATTTTTAAAATTTTATTAAAATTTTATTAAATTCGAAAAAAAAACCCGCATAATATTTGGCAGATGTTTTTAAAATTTCCAAGATTTCTGGATAACATTTAGATTTTGCATCAAATATTACTTTGACTGAAGGGTATATCTCTGCATTCTGTTTTAGTGAAGAGTTTCTAAGAATTGGTTATTGTGAATCACTGAAATCACAATTAATTTTTAATGCAAGGGCCATTTCTGCTTTTACCATTATTGAATTCCTATTCTTATTTTCAATAATTTTCCTGGCTAAAGCTGCATTTTTGACAGAATGTTTAATAACTTTTGAAAAGTCAGCTTTTCCTGAGCTTGATTTAACCCTTAACTTAATATTTTAAGCTTTTTACTTTTGAAACAGAAAAAAAGAATGCCTAAATAAAAAGTTCGCAAATTATAGCGAACTTTTTTTATCTTCTGTCGCAAAAATTTTTTTACCTGTAATTTGGGTGTTAAAAGGAATAAATAAATAAAAAAAATATTTTTTTTTTTATCATTTGATATTTTTTCTAATAAGTTGTACAACAAAATTGATGCGAATTGTGTATTCAAAAAAATCCACTTATACTTACTTTTTCAGCTTATCGCTTTAATGTGCAACTAAATAAATACCACCTATAATTTATTATGTATTTAAGCTATTTAACCGCAATATTTTTATTAACAACGAGGTCTTACGTTATGACTAAAAGTCAACAAACGAGAACCTGTAGCAAAAACAAAATTTGGTTAGCAAAGATAAAAATTTTGTTAAATATATACTCTACGTATATGAAACTTTTTTCAATAAAGTGAATAGCACTCATTAAATAAAAACGATAATTTTTTTAACTATAAATTCTAAATTAAATAGCACCGTTTGTTGGTTTGCATATACTTTTTCTTTATTTAGTCTACAATGAAAATGGCAATATTTGTTTATGTTTATGAAAAATATAGAAATGTGTTTATTGTTTTTCTACAAGTTAGGGGTCGTCCATAAAGTACGTACGCCAAAAACTCTGAAATTTGACACCCCCTCCCCCCTGTACGTACGTTTTTCATATACCCCCCTCCTCGATTTATTTTTTTCAAGTTAAAAAATTTATTGAAAGAAAAAAAGGTGGAGAAGGTACCCTAGATACTTTAAAAGTAATGATAAGATACTTTAGAAGTATCTAGGGTAATCCTCCACCTTTTTTATTTCAATAAATTTTTATATCAAAAAAAAAAAAAAAAGGAGGGGGATGAAAGACGTTTAATGTATTTATATGCCCTTTCTTAGCCGCAAAGAATCCCATTTATAAAAACGTCATCAAAAATATATACAAATATTAATTTAAATAAAGTTTAATTCTACGTAATGATAAAAATAATAATAAAAAAAACTCTTCAATTCTTAGTTATCTATTTTAAAGCTTTATTTAGAATAAAATTTTTATTTTTTAATTGTAAAGTGTTGCTATATCGACTATATCTTGTAGCCTGACTCGCAACAGAAAGCTGCTACAGTGACTACATCTTATAGCCTGACTCGCAACGGAGTGCTGCTACATCGATTATGCTATAGCCTGACTTGCAACGGAATGCTACTACACCGACTATCTTTTAGCCTGACTCGCAACGGAGTGCTGCCAAATCGACTGAGGGTTTGGTTTGGGCAGGCAGTCTATCAAATTATTTAAAAAAAAAAATTTATGTTATATTTGTCTAGTTTCACTGAATTTCCTTTTATTTATTTTTTAATAATTTTTTTGCTTAAAAGCCCTTAAGATATACCGCTAAATTAACTATTTAACGGAAATAAAACATTGCAACATTAACAACCAATAGGACGATGGTTCGCAAAAAAGTTCGCATTTTACCAGTTCGCAGTTCGCGGTTCGCAGTTCGCATTTTACCTAGTACAGTAGGCAGTGACGGCTGAGATCCGAGTTTGATTCTCGGTAAGGTTTTTTTTATTTTTTTTGTTTAATGAAACGCATTAAATAAAAATAAACTATACTTATGGCAGACGTTTTTTTTTAGGCACACCTCTTTAGAAAGTCCTTAAAAAGCGAGTCTCACGCGAGAAGAGTAATATTAAAAACAAAGTTTAAAACCCACTGCCGAGTGTAGGTTACCCATACCGCGTAATTAGAGAGGATGGGGTGTTGTGGGGTAGCAGCAAATTTTGTACCCTTTTGCTACTTTAAAGAGCTTTTTATTTTAGCAAAACTTAGCAGTAAAATTTGGAAGATTTTAAGACTCTAACGACACATTTTTTTTTGAGAAGGGAGGGGGGGGAGGATATTAAAGATAGGGCACATTTACACATTGTGCAAACTCCAAACTTAAGTTTGTTTATACCTATGCCAAATGAGGAGACCTTATAAAAAATTGGAACGGTTGAAACGTTAGGGCACTTATGTAGTAAAATATTTAACTTAACGATCTAAAACTAAACAAATTTATCGAAAGAATTTAAATTTCGTTGAAAAATATTGCTAATTAATGTCGATGCAAAACGTACAACCCCTCATTTATTTATTTTTGTTGGGGAAGGAGATCGGAAATTTTTATTATATTAGTGCCATCACCTTTGGGAAGGGAAGGGGACGCAAGCATTTGAGGGCTTTTTTGTTACCAGGCTATCACCATAACAACTTTTTGCAAGAGTTTCTTCAAATGGCATAGGTTTAAAAATACTTAAGTTTGGAGTTTGCACAATGTGTGGAAGTGGTTTATCTGGAACATCAAAAAATCCTGCGGGCGCCCATGCATGTGTAGGCATAGAAAGAAACTATACCTTCTACTCCCTATAAAATACATCATTTTATGCTGGCAAACTAGGATATTTAGTCAGAATTTTAACTTATCTATTGACTAGCTGGTTAGTTGTGTAAAATTAGAAAATCGAAGTACGTACTTTTAAATTGAACCCTTCTCCTCCCCCCTCCTCCCATACGCTATCTTACGCTTTTTGAAGACCTTCCCCTCCCGTACGTACTTTATGGACGACCCCTTATTTATCATTGAAGTCAAACGTTTTAAAAATTTATAAATTTCTCAGAGATAAAAAAAAATAAAACACGTTGGATATAATGTTTAAGGGAGAACGGGGTGAAATGGGACATGGGGTAAGATGGGACATGGCGATTTCTCAGCAAAAAAATTGTTTAAGCAGTTTTTTTTATATATGTGATAAGATTACAATAAGTTCTTCATATTATTGTGTGTTTTGAGTTTCAAAAGTATTTTAAAATTAAAATTATTTTCGAATATGTTAAAATCTAACAAGTTTCTTGGATTTTGAAGACGTCATTAATAATAAATATTTATGTTATGTTTCCATATAATTTTATGTTTATGGTTTTTAATTAATTATTATTGTCTTATTTAATTACTGAAGAAATATAATTAGCAAATGGTTAAAAGAACTATATAAAATAAAAGTTTTCTCATACTTACTAGTAATGGGGTGACTTGGGACAAGAGACTTGGGGTGAAATGGGACACTGTTCAATTTTATCAGTTGTTTAATTTGTTATATCTTAATTTTTTCAATAAATTTTTTTTGTAAAAAATTAAGTTAGCAGAAAAATATGCAGGATTTTTTGATGTTCCAGATAAACCACTTCCACACATTGTGCAAACTCCAAATAAATAAGTTAGCAAAAAATTAAATTATGGAAATCTTGCCATAACTTGCCAAGTTATGGCAAGATTTCCATGTTTACTTTATGTTAATATGTTTTTTAACAACCAGGATAAAGTTTCTATAGAACTATTTTTAAAAAAAATAGTTCTATAGAAACTTTATCCTGGTTGTTAAAGACATTTTTCACAGTAAGCATTGTTTTATCAAGAATATTTTTTAGCACTGTATTTATAATTCAGTTTAAATAAAGGACTTTATTATTACAATTTTTAAATTTAATCTCATTATAAGTTTTTAGGGTTATGGTACTAATTTATTTTCATTAATAATATGAATTTTGATTCATACAATTTTAAAAAAGTATAATTTTTGAATAATAGAGTGAGTAATGTGTGTAATATTTTTCAGATGCCAAAAAAATACAAACGAGTGACAAATTGGTTAAAGCCTGATGCTCATACAATAAAAGCCGCTGTGATGGCTGTTGAATCTGGAAGTTTATCACTACGAGCAGCTGCACTGGAATATAAAATTTCGAAATCAAGTTTACAGCGGAAAATAAAGGTTAATAAAGAAACTTCTTACAATGACTTATACTTTGATGAACAATTTGACGAATCGGTTAAAGCCTGAAGCTCATACAATAAAAGCCGCTGTGATGGCTGTTTTTTTGTTTTTTTTTTAAATTTACAACACAAGTATTCGTATAGGGAAGATGGGGGCGCATTGATCGCCGTTGCAGTATTTTGAAAACTGCAAACAACCCGATCTAGATATAAAAACTTATTAATTACTAAACTAAACTAGAACAATCTGTCTTTAAGTAAAAATAAATGTTTTAATAAAAAACATTAATGAACGTGGTATACTTCAACATTACAACAACCTTTGCAAAAGATCAATATATATATATATATATATATATATATATATATATATATATATATATATATATATATATATATATATATACATGTTTACATTTATATATATGTATATACATATCATTGCAACCTAATACACACCAGTATATAAAGTTTTCATTAGAAGAATGACCACAATTCTATCTATGAAAATAAGCCCGTTATATACTACTAACATATATATGTGTTAAGTTTTACAAAACTTGAAGCTTATAAAGTCTATAAGAATACAGTATTTTAAGTTTACAAAGAAAATATAAGATTCATACAAAACTTTTATTAGATCTAAAGTTTACAAGATTATCTTTTTAAATAAGCACCATTTGTCAAAGTCAAATCGTGATGCAGCTTTTACATTACATTGTTTTTTGTTCCTAAGCAAGTAGTTTTTAACTTTTCCCTTTTTTTTTATCTTTTGCGATGAGTTTCTTTTGTTGGTTGATTTGTTTTAGGGTTTTCTTTTCTTCTGACAAACGAATTTCATTTCTGATTGGAGTATCAGTCAAAATCTTTGTTTTTAATTGCCTACTTTTAACACTTCTTTGTATAGCAGATGCTTTCGGGTAAGGTTTCAAAACTTCAGGTGAGAGTAATGAAGCAATGCTTGGTGACACTTTGTTCGAAAAACTTGTTTCATGATGTACTAAAGGCATTTCAGGCTCCATGCCATCAACATGTGCTACAGTCATTTCAGGTTCCACAAGAATTGTGTTTACTACATTTGGAGCAGCACGATCTGTAACTGATAATGGTAAATATTCATCATCTTTATAAATTTCTGGATTAAATGGCTCAATGCCAGCTACTTGAAATCCTCTCTGTATATTAGATGGTGAGAAAACTTTTGTATATGGTTCGCGAACTATTGAAACAATATCATAAATAGTCATAAGTCTTGGATTTGTGACCATCCAATTATCACAGGCAGCGTTATAAAACCATTTAAATGGTCCAAAAACAGTTCTACCTAATGGTTGCAATTTATGGGTACAATGGGGAGGAAAACTTAGCATTGCAATTACATGTTGAATTGCAAGATCCAAAGCTCTAACAGAAATATGACTTTTATGGCTGTCCAGAAGTAACAAAACTAGAGATTCATGAGACCAGTTTGAATACCTCACAAAATGTTTTATCCATTCTATAAAAATGTCTGAATTCATCCAACCAGAAGGATTTGCAAATCCCACGCATCCAGGAGATTCTTCCTTTATTATGTAATCATGAAATTTGACCTTAGGAAAAACAAATAGTAGAGGAATAGAGTTTCCAATTGCATTTGAAGCACAACATCCAGTTACTAATGTTCCTCGTTCTGCAGATGTGATTCTTCCTACTTGTTTACTTCCTTTACCTGCTAACATATTTACTGGCTTTTGCACTGTTGTTAAACCATTTTCATCAACATTATATATGCAATAAGGATCAAACTTATATCGATTTCTTACTGTTCTTAGATTTTGGAAAAATTCTCCAACAGTGTGTCGGTTAAAGGCAGTTGATTGAGCAAAGCTAATTGCTTCAAGTGTTCGAAAAGACAACTCTTGTTGTCTTTTTATAAAAACTTGCAACCAATCAATCCCTGCAATTTTATTCTTGATCCATGATGAAAGGCAAATCTTATTATTTTTTACAGCAAATTCGTATGCCAATAAACTTTCAACTAAGTCAACCGTGTTGACTTAGTTGAAAGTCCATAGTTCATTTTTGATGCAAGTAGTAAATAACTTGACAAACTTTTTTCATCTTCTGCAGTAAAAACTTGTTTATTGTTGTAATTAGGCTTAAAAGATTCATTTGGGTTGAGCTTCTTTTTATTACAATATCTTTTTAAGGTAATTCGATTTATGCTAAACTTGCGAGCTACAACATTCACTCGTCTGCCCTCTAAAACTGCTTTAACAGCTGATTTCATTGTATCACATGATATAGCAACTCTGTCTGTTTTTTTTTTTTTCTACACCTAACTATTTAAAGATCTAAAAATTTAAAAAAAAGTAAAATAAAATGAATGTTTAAAAAAAAAAAATTTTATATAATAATATTATGTAAACTAATTGTAAAACTTATGTAAAACTAAAAACTAATGTTATTAATATTAGTTTTTAATACTATTACATTTTAAAAATGAATTTTTAAAAGTTTCTATAAAGATTTTTTATACAAAATAAGGTAACTATTCGTTGTTTATAATATAAAGTGCTGGCTATTAACCCATGCACTTAAAAAATATATGCAAGTCCGTCGTACCACAGGGCTACTAGGGACTTGCTTGTGGACGTTGTTGAATATATATATATAAAATTATTCTTAAAAAATATTTTTCTTTGTTGTAAGGAAACTCGCAGAAGATAATTGCCCTAATACTTCTACTATATAGTAGAAGTATTAGGGCTTTTTATTATTACTATTTTTCCCAAACTGTTTAACACAGTTTGATGAAGTTGGTTAAGTTAATTATGATATGTTTTAGTTTTTTTTTCAGGGCAATAAGGTTATCCATTTTATTAAGTTCCATTTTTTGAATTATTATTTTGTTATGTAAGTATGGGCCACGGTATATTAAAGAAAATCGCGAGAATTTTGTTTTTTTTCAAAGGCAAGGTGAAGTTGCCTTGTCCTCGTGTGATATATTTGTTTGCGTTGATATGAAAAAAGCTATCAGTAAAGTATTTCGGAACAAGTCCGAGTTTGTATTTTAGTATGAATAAGATATTTTAGTAAATATTTATTTGATAGATATTTAATGCATTCAAATTTTTAAGTAAAGGGTCGGCATGAGTATATTTATCTTTATTATAAATTAATCTTGATGCATGTTTCTGATGTATGTAGAGTGAATTTAATTTAGTTTTATGGGTACTTCCCCATGCAATATTAGCGTATGTTAGGTAACTTTGAATATAAGAAAAGAAGAGAATTTTTAAGTTGTCTTGGAAAGCAAAGGTTTGGCTTTTTAGAGTACGCCGATACTTTTTGATATTTTTGTGTTTATTGCTGTTGAATCTGGCAGTTTATCACTACGAGCTTCTGCACTGGAATATAAAATTTCGAAATCAAGTTTACAGCGGAAAATAAAGATTAATAAAGAAACTTCTTACAATGACTTATACTTTGATGAACAACATAAATATATTTTTAATAAGGCGGAAGAAGATGAACTTTCAACTTATCTTCGTCAAGCATCTGATATGCATTTTGGACCTAATGTTAAAGAAACAAAGCAACTTCCATATCAATATGCATTTAATAACGGAATTAAAATACCAGAAAACTGGAAAAAGAGTGATACAGCTGGAACTAAATGGTTTTATTTATTCTTAAATCATACAAAATTATCAAATTGTATGCAAGAGGCTACCAGCCTTAGTAGAACAACTATTTTCAATCGCACCAATGTAGATACTTTCTTCAAAAAACTTGACAGGGTACAGAAGTGCTATAAATTTTCTGCTGATTGCATTTACAATATTGATGAAACAGCTCTTATAACTGGTCATAAGCCAGTGGTTGCGGGTAAAGAAGTAAAGCAAGTAGGAATGGTAACTTCTGCTGAAAAGGGAATCCTAGTTACAATGGTAGGTTGTATAAATGCTCTTGAAAATACTATTCCACCGTTTTTGATATTTTTCCGTATCCACTTTCGTAGCCACATGCTTAAAGGTGCACCAACAGATACCAAAGGTGATGCTAATCCTAGTTGATGGATAAATACAGAAATATTTTTGAATTGGTTTGATCATTTTGTGCAGTATGGACATCCTAGCCAGCATCATCCATTACTTTTAATAATGGACAACAACAAAAGTCAAATATCGATTGAATTGATGGATAAAGCTAAGGAAAGTAATTTTGTGCTCTTGACATTGCTACCCCATTGCAGCCACAAAATCCAACTACTTGACAGATCAGTATTTGAGCCATTAAAGAAATTTTACAGTTCAGCATGTGATTCAAGGTTAAAGACACATCCAAATACTCCTATGACGATATATGACATTTCTGAAAAACAGCTTATGCGAGAGCCTTTACTTCCCAAAACATTCAAAATGGGATTAAGGCAGCTGGCATTTTCCCGTACGATCCATATGTTTTTAGTGGTGTGGGCTTCTTATGTATCTGATCAGCCAATTCCAGCAAATATCTCTACCATATCAGCCAGTTTGTCCAGCAGTATTTCTCCGGTCCAAAAAACAATTTCTTTCAGTATAGCGAATGTATACTATAAGACAGACCCTGCAACTAAGGCTTACAATTTAAGTAAATTATCTGATTCGCAAATACAAACAATCCATACACCACTATCAATTGTATCAGAAGTTATTAATGACAAGAAATAGCAAATAAGCGCTTCTGTCAACCATTGGACAGCAGAAGATATAAGGCCGTTTCTAAAGGCGGGTGAGAGGGTGACAAAAAGAAAATGTTCAAAGAGAAAAAGCAAAAATAAAATGTTCTAGGTCTCTGGCATTGACTGACACACCAACAAGAAATGAACTAGTTGCAAGTTTATTAGAATGTAAAAGAAAAAAGGAAGATAAAAATATAAAAAAGCAAAAAAGTTACCCCTTGAGACATTAACACAATATTGAATCTATTTAAACATTAGGCGACCTTGTTGAACAAAGTTATAAATGCATTCAGAATGCATTTATAACTTTGTTATGTTAAATAAGAAGTAGATTAGACAGAATAAAATAATGCTCAAAAATATTTGTTTCTAACTTGTCCCATTTCACCCCAAACGTTGTCCTATTTCACCCCAACATCGGGTGACATGGGACAAACAGTGTCACATTAAAAAAACGAGGCCGTGAACTTAATTTGATGGTTAAGTAATGGGTTTTTAAATAATTTCCCATGATAACTCATTAGACTATAGTTTTAACCCAAATTGTATGGTGTTTGGAAAAAATATAAAGCGCGGCAAACAAACAAATTTTTTTGTCCCATCTCACCCCGTTCTCCCCTATCTCGCGCAAGTTTTAAAACGTCTAGCCACACTTTAGTATATGATCTGGTTGGCATCCAAAATTAAACAAAAATAAACTAAAATACAAATTTTCTTAGATAATTGATTTTCCTCAAATTTTTTTAGATAGGATTATAGTTTATTCTAAAATTGCATGAAACTTTCTACTAATTTTTTTTTTCTACTTTGAAAATTTCTACAAGGAACTATTATTCTTTGTAAGGTGTATGTTACAAAATTTGTTATTCTATCAGGGAGTTGCCGTTTTGAAAAACCAATGATATGAATTCTGTTTCAAAAAATATTTTAGATGTTATGATAAATTGTAATACAAGTTGTATGTTTTGTGGTCTTATATTTCTTTTGAAAGTTTTTATGTGATCAAATTCATTTAAATTTAGAATCAGTAAGAGAGTCAAATAGAAAAGCAAAGACAATTATATGTGATACAAATCTATATAATTAAAAAAATCTGAAAAAAGCCATAAAATATCAACGCAAGTCACAAATTATACACATGAAGAAATAGTCTAGCTGATTAAAACGCTGTTATAAGAAACACTTTTGTTACAAATTTGTTGTGTTAGGAAACTTTGCTAAAGAATTACTAAAAAGAGTATTTATAAATTCTTAAATAAAAGTAAGCAAGCTTCAACTTTTAGTCGGCAAATATGAAAATATTTAAAAATACGAAAAGATCTTTATTTTTTTTATTTGGAAAAAATATTTAAGGTTTGGGTTAATAAATATTTAAGGGTGGGTTTCAAGTATTAGAACTTCAGAAAATAATAAGATTTTTTTATAATAGGTAAAGATCTTTTGTCGTAATTTTGTTATTAAATGATTTTTTGCAAAATCTAAGATTAATTAATAGTTTGATGTTATTAACTTTTTGTTAAACTGTTTTCGTTGCATCTGTTTATAAGGTAGATTACGGTATTATAAGCGCCTTAAGCGAAAATTGAAATATTTTGAAAAATAGTTGGGCTTGATCCAAAATTTCTGCGAAAATACAATTACCCAGTAAGTAGACACTACTTGGCCCAATAGCGAACCAGGCTCGGCTGCCGAGCTGTACCAGGCCTGTCACGCCAGCGCCGTGGTTAAATTCATATAATTTACTTTTTGTTAATAATTTACAAGTTAATAAATTTGCATTAAAAATAATTAAAAAATAAATGCATTAAATTTATCATTAACAATATAAATACTTGTAAAGCTTATAATTATGTCAAATATTTAATTAATATAAAACATAACATATAAAACAGATCATGCAAGACTTTGAGAACATTATACTTTGTCAGATTAATCAAAAATAAAGCGTTCAAATCGTGGTAATGATAATCCAGATAAAGGTTTCAATGGCAATGATTGGACAGTATAGCCACGATTTTTTGTTGAACTGGTTTTTTGGATGGACTTCTTTTCTTGCTTTTTCTTTTCTGCCTCTATTTCCGTCTAGAGCTCCAGAAAAAAAAGCCACAACTGCCTTTTAAATTTCCCTGTATGTGGTATCTTTTGTCAGCAAATTTTTTCGTATTGCTTAAACGCAGTCATATATCAAGTGTTTTTATAAACAAAATTATAAGAGTATAGCTATTTATAGCTGTTGTACATATCTGTATATGTCTATATCTGTATTTCTTTCTCTTTGTTTATATATATATATATATATATATATATATATATATATATATATATATATATATATATATATATATAT